GGCGGGCGGGTGCCCGCCGGTACGAGTAACCCCTGACTGTAACTGCTGGAGGCGTCGGCCCACTCGTGTTATTTTTGTGTGTGCTTCAGCCTTTGCGTCTGAGCCGTCTGTCCGGCCGCGGCCTCTCACCGTGCGGGGAAGGGAGCTGGCGCTGTGCAGCTTCTCTGCTGAGGTGGCCAGCGAGGGAGGCCTTGTGCTGCCACCCTGCCTCTGCCAGCGCCCCTGCTTGTGCGCCTTGGGACTACTGTCAGTCACACCCAAAAGGGACAAAAGCCTCAGAACCGGCTGGGTTTATGAGGAGTGTAAGCATCCAGCTAGAAGAGAGCAGGGGAGCCAGGATATTTGCATCATCCATGGACAGCGTAGGAGCTCGGACACCATACCTATGCAGCCTAGTAGTAGCTGGAATAACATCTAGGTAGCACTGATTTCTTTTTCTCTAAATCATCAGTAAGTCATGAGTGTCCTTTTAATGTCTGCGAACTCTTAGAACCTGTAAAGGATTGTTGTATAAATACACTGGGCCTGATTTACCACTGCTACATACACAACTTGGGAAACAAACATACAAACAACCTACCTACACACGCTGCACCCCAGTAACTCCTGCAGGCTCCTGAGGCCTCGCAAAAACACTGACACGTCACCCAAATAAGGTGCTGAAGACAGAAAAAAAAGTAGCGGGGAAAACAAGCAGTGAGACTTTCTTCAGAAGTCTTTCAAACGAAACTTGCACAAAGCAGGAATAAAAAAGTAATGAGTGAAACCTGAGACAACAATGAAATGAAAGTAAAACAAGTTCTACAAAAGAAGCCTCCAACAGAAGGAAGCTCCACAGAGAGCAGAATGCTGTAGCACGTCTCAGCTGAGGGTGTGATTGGAATTACAGGGAATTTTAGGCTGGGAAAGGACCTCTGGAGATACCTGGCTTCCTTTTAAAAGCAAGGCATTACATCAAGGACCCTGTCAAACCAAGTCTTGAGTATTTCTATTGAGGAAACTCCCACTACGTCTCTGGGCAATATATGTCGGTGTCTAATTGTTTTTATAGTGGAGATTTTTTCTTATACTTGGACAGATTTTCCCCTGAAGAAATGTGTCAATTGCCCCTTGTCCTGTGCACCTCTGTGAAGAGAGATCCAACTTTTAGGAGCTGGAAAACTGTGGTTGGATCTCCCCTGAGCCCCCTTTTGTCTAGGCTGAATAAACCCAGTTCCTTCAAACATGTGCCAAGCTCTCCAATCCTGTAAGCATCATGTTGGCCCTCCACTGGACCCCCTCTGATTTTTCACTCCTTCTTGAACTGTACTGGACCAAAACTGAACACAGTAATGAAGGTGCTCTCTATTTACTCTATCATTTTGCTGCAAAACATGAAATTGAGTCAAGGGTCTGTTGCCTTACCCTGGAATCACACTGAGGTTCCCTAAAACCCCATGATGGAAACCAAGCCTACTCCTGAAGCTCAGTGACATCTACCATATGGGTGAAACCACATCTCAGGGAGAGACTGTCCCAGCAATCGCAGACTGTCCAAGAAACTCCTCTAGGAATTTTATCTCATACATCACAGTCTCCAGTTCTGCATGCAAGGTACAATTCTTCAACCTAAAAAAAAGGCACAAAACCAATTTCTTTAAGAGACACCCAAAGTAAAACATTACAATATACACGTCAGCTTTACTTCCCCGATGGCCTTTTGTGGGTCTGTATTCTGCAAAAAGGCTTAACCTGGAAATGATGGCGGACTGCTCCGGTCACCTGGGGCTGTTATTTCGCTGTCGGTGCGCAGCTGGAAAGTCACCGGTGCAGAAATCCCTGACACACCAGTCACTGGCCCTAGAAACTCCTAAACTGGAAAGTGCAAGGTAGACTTCCGTTCACGTTTGTTTAGGTTTGGGTTTGTTTTTTAAACTCACGGTTTCCGTTAAAGGTTTCCTTTTAAATACTCAGGGACGCGCAAACGAAACCGAAAGCGGCGCTGGGGCCGGAATAAAGCGGGAGCGGCGGCAGCCCGGGGAGCTGCCGAGCGGGAGGAGGGACGCGCTCCC